ATATTTTTCCATCTTTTTATTTTCAGTCTATGTATATCCTTGTATCTCAAGTGACAGAATATAGCTAGAATATAGTTGGATCTTGTTTTCTGATCTAGTTTGCTACTTCACATCATTTGAATGGGGTGTTTAATTCATGTTCACCTAATTACTGAGAGAGAAAGACTTACTACTGGCATTTTGTTGTTTTCTATATACCTTGTAGTCATTCAGTTCATGATTTTCTCTCCTATTCCCTTCCCTTGTGTTTCATTGATCTTTTGCATAGTGACATGCTTTGATTTCCTTCTCATTTTCTGTTGTGCATCTCCTACAGGTATTTTCTTTATTACCATGGGGATTACATTAAACATCTTAGAGTTATAACAACCTAACAAGGTAACTTCAATCACATACTGAAACTCTACTCATCTACATCTCCCTCCCCAGTTTATGTTACCAATGTCACACATAATATTCTTTTCTATTTTGTATCTATCAACATAGTTCAATAGCTATTTATGCTTTTATCTTTTAAGTTCTATACCAGAATTAAAAATGATTTATGTACAGCCAGCCCTCTATATCCATGTGTTCTGTATCCATGGGTTCAACTAATCATGGATCAAAAATATAGTATTTGCAGGATGTAGAACCCAAAGATTGACCATTTGTTTCTGTAAGTTCCACACAGTTTGCTGTGGAACTGGAGCATCTGCAGATTTTGGTATGTGTGGGGAGTCCTGGAACCAATCCTCTGTGGATACTGAGGTACAACTGTACTATATGACACAGTACTATAAGATTTTAAAGTTGTCTGTATATTTATACATTTACCAGAAGGCTTTATATTTTCGTATCCTTTCATGTTGCTGTCTAATATCCTCTCATTTCAACTTGAAGGATTCCTTTTAGCAATTCTTGTAAGGCAGGTCCAGTGGTGATGAACTTCTTCAGCTTTTGTTTATCTGGGAGTATCTCTACGTCTTCATTTTTGAAGAATGATTTAGCCCAGATGAAACATTCTTAGTTGGAAGGGGTTTTTGTTTCGTTTTGTTTCCTCCCTGGCTCTTTAAATGTATCATCCCACTCCCTTCTGGCCTGTAATTATGCTGAGAAATCCACTGACAATCTTCTGGAACCTTCCTTCTACATGACAAGTCATTTTTTTCTTGCTGCTTTCAAGATTCTGTGTTTAACTTCTAACAATTCAGATTTTTGTTTATGTTGGTGTGGGCCTCTTCGAGTTCATTCTTTGGAGTCCTTTGAGCTTCTTAAATTAGGATATCTAATTCCTTCCTAATATTTGGAAAGCTTTTACTATTATTTCTTCAAATAAGTTCTTTGCCCCTTTCTCTCTTATTCTAGGACTCCCATAATGTGTATATTATTCCACATGATGTTGTTCCACAAGTGTCTTAGGCTTTCTTACTTTCCTTTATTCTTTTTTTTTCTGACTTAATAATTTCAAATGATTTGTGTTTAAGTTTTCTGACTCTTTCTTCTGTTTGATCAAGTCTATTGCTGAACCACTCGAGTAAGTTTTTCATTTCAGTTATTGTGGTTTTTTAGCTCCAGAATATCTGTTTGGTTCTCATTTATTCTATATCTTTGTTGATATTCTCATTTTGTTCATGTATTGTTTTCCTGATTTCATTTAATTGGGTATCCATGTTCTCTCGCAGGGCCTTGAGATCCCTTAAGACAATTATTTCAAATTCTTTGTCAGGTAATGCGTACATTTGTTTCTTCAGGATCTGCTTCTGTAGATTTATTCTGATCCTTTGATTATGCCATGTTTCCCTGGTTTACTTTGTATCTTGTTGCTTTTGTTGTATTTTGTACATTTAAAGACACATCCACTTATCTCAGTCTTTATGGACAGACATGGTACAGGGAAGACTTTCACAAATGGACTCTCAACTAGAGATTCCGGAGGTTCCTCGAACCTTTTCCAGGGATATGTCTTCTCTGAGCTTATGCATGTGATTTCCAAATTGGAGGGCTTTATGGGTTTCTTTCTCAAGAGCTCCTAATCTCTTCCTCCCTCTAGTGTCTGTCTGTGGTATTACAGATTCTCCAGTGCTGCAACAAGCTGCTGAGCTATCTTGTTCCAAAGTATGATGCCATTTCTGCCAGTGCTGTGGGTCAGGCAAGACTGATACCAGTCCCTCTGGTAGGCCCCTGAAAAGCCGGAATACTGGCTATATATTCCATTCTTCTCTTCCCCTCCCAAAGAACAAGTCATGAGCTGGGCACTTTCTCCCAATGATGCTGAGCTACACCAGCCTCCATCCGCAGCACTGCCGATTCTCTGGTGCTACCACAAACCACTAAGCTTCCTTTTGTTCTCCGTGGCCCCAAGGCATCAAAAGTAGTCTTCTTTTATCCACAGTTTTACTTTTTGTAGTTTGACCTAGCCATGGTCACCCGTGGTCCAAAAATATCAAAAGAAGAAATTCCAGAAATAATTCTTTCAAATTGTGCGCTTTTTGTTTGTTTGTTTTGAGAAAACACCTTGCCCTTGTTGCCCAGGCTATAGGGCAGTGGTGCAGTCTCAGCTCACTGCAACCTCCAACTCCTAGGTTCATGTGATTCTCCTGCCTTAGCCTCCTGAGTAGCTGAGCCTACAGACATGAGCCACCATGCCCAGCTAATTTGCATTTTTAGTAGAGACGGGGTTTTGTCATGTTGGCTAGGTTGGTCTTCAATTCCTGAAATCAGGTGATCCACCTGCTTCAGCCTCCCAAAATGCTGGGATTAAAGGCATGTGCTACCATACCTGGCCTAAATTGTGCACTGTTCTGAGTGGCATGATGAAATCTCATGCTGTCCCACTATGTCCCACCTGGAACATGAATCATCCCTTTGCCCAGGGTATCCATGATATAAACTACCTCCTTAGTAGCCATATTGGTTGTCAGATCAACTGTCAGTATCACTGTGCTTGTGTTCAAGTAACCCTTATTTTACTAATGCTTAATAATGACCTCAAAGTCCAAGAGCACTGGGGCTGGCAATTTGGATATGTCATAGAGAAACTGTAAAGTGCTTCCTTTAAGTGCAGAGGTGAAAGTTCTCAACAAGGAAAGAAAAATATCACATGCTGAGGTTGCTGAGATCTATAATAAAAACAAATTGTCTAGCTGTGAAATTGTAAAGAAGGAAAAAAATTTGTTAGTTTTATCATTGTATCTCACATGGCAAAAATTAGAGCCATCATGCATGATAAGTGCTTAGTTAGGATGGAAAAGACATTGAATTTGTGAGTGAAATACAGAAATATGTTACGATTGATGGCAATCAGGTTTGGTACTATCCACAGTTTCAGACATCCACTGGGTGTCTTGAAACATATCCCCTGCAGATAAAGAGGGATTACTGTATGCCATTTCCTCATCAGTGCTCTCAATCAGTAGAGAGAGAAATAAGTTCCTCATCTGCTCCCTAAAAAGTGAAAATGTTGGATGCACATTCCACTCTTCTTTTTCCCTCCCAAGGGAGAGAAGCTATAGGCTGAGTTTTTCCTACCAATCTCACCAAGCTGTGTCAGCCTTGGAAAAGGGCTATCACAGTTGATACAAAGTAAGACATTTTAACCAATTTCAATGTGGCTATTCTTGACTTTGAGCTTGCCTGCAGTATTGTGACTTCTTAATTGGTTCTGCAATTCTCATTAAACTTTTGGGGGAGGTATGTTGTAGTAAGTCAATATCTCTATTGGGAAATAAGGTCTAGGACTTCCTATTCTGCCATCTTGCTGATGTCACTTCTGAAGAACTCCTTTAATGTTATTATTAATTTAGTTTTCATCTTTTGGTAATGACCTGCTTATATTCCTTGCTCTTTCCATACTGGAGTATTTGCCTCTTTATGACTGATTTTTGCAAGTCATTTCTATATTTTGCATTCTGATCCTTTGTTCTATTTATTAATAAATTTAAAAAATTATTTTATTGTCAGCCGCTTATTAAAAAATCATCAACTGTGATGTACATTTCGGGATTTTGGTGTAGGGAGTATATACACATTGCACTGATTGATTTTTAAAGTCCTTTTAAATAAATGTATAATTACATAAATCTAAAGGGCCATCAGTCAACATTCACCTCACAATTAAAGCCAAGTCTTTACCTGACGTGTAAATAAATAAATCTAAACACTTTCCATGTCTCCTATATATTCTTCTTCTTACATTGCCAATCCAACGTAATAAAGATTTCTCCAATGTTTTCCTCTAATAATTACATAGTTTAAGGGTTAGGAGCAAAGGATTTCTAAAGGTTGAAGACAAAGACAATTTCTGATAGAGCCGGAATTAGCAACAGCTTTACAAAAAAAAAAAAAAAATCACCAATCCCTCATTCTCAGATTCTCTTGGTTAATGACATGTCAAAAATGAAATGCTCACCAATGAAAACTGATTTCTTTCACAGAGCGAAGAAACATTTGTAATGTAATTAATTGCCTTTTAATTTGTCTGAATCTCTTTGTTTAGTCTAGATTTTGGAATATGATGTTTCTTAAAATAGGGGATATGTTCACATAAAACGTTGCCTTGTAAATATTCTGACTGTGTGTGTGTGTGTGTGTGTGTGTGTGTGTGTGTGTGTGTGTCTGTGCTGGGAGCAGGAGAAGGCAGAGCCGCAGCACGCTAGTACGAGAGCACACGCTTGCATCTGCGTACATTCCCCTCCTGCAGAGTGAGCAACCCCAGGATAAAACTAAGTGCTGCTCTTTCTTTTGTGCTCCCTACTGTATATATAGGGCTTTTTACTTAATGGCCCCACAAAAGACATTGCATGATTTACTTACTGCTCTGTGAGAGTTGAGAAAACAGATTTTAAAAAGAGTTTGAAAAAACTTACCAATTTGCTATGTATTCCACTGAAATAATCTTTCTACATAGAATACAACCATAACTGAACATGCATTTCCTATGAATTGTAAAATTTTCCTCTCATAACCAAATTGATACATTTTTGAAACTTGAGAAGAAGGATGTTTAGTTTAACACCTACCGCCTTTGAGTGTTAAATCCATTAAGATGATTCTCTCTGAGTTCAGATGCTAATGATAAAACCATCTGTAAAACAAAATCAGTTGCAGGTTAACTCATGCTGCCAACAGGATCACCTCAGTTCTATTTTTCTTGGTGTGAGTGATATTTCCATTGAGATTCCCCCAACCCGCATCTTCTCCTCATGTTTTACTTAGAGTGAAAAGGAAGCAGTGCCATATCACATTTACTAACAACCGGGATTTTATGTTTAATGTCTATAATTCTGCATTCCTATTTGGGCAGTGAACAATAGATAGATCATTAATTTCCTAAGAATTAAAACCAAATCCATTTAAATAAACTGTTGGTTTATTTCTTCATTCAAAATCTAGTTGATTTTTTTTTTTAAAAAAGCTTCTCTTGTATAAAGCTTCCGAAACACCAGAACAGTTAACAAACATTAAAAATCTCCTAACATTTTTTTACAAGAGTTATATCAAGATTGTAAGTTAAAATTTCTTACATTTGGCTATAATTTAGGCCAGAAGAAAACAAAGCTTTAATACTAAGAGGTAAATATGTAATACTACATATTGAATTTTCTGCTTTGCTTTAACAGAAAATTCCAATCAGGTTATTTTAAATATAAGATTTGTCTAACAGTACAAGACTATGTTTATAATAGCTAAGAAAAGCTCTTCTCCCAAACATCAGAGTGAATAAGTGAGATGTGTTACTAGAAAGAGAGGTTGATTGGTTTGTTTAGTAAAACCCTTCCTGGTTTCCTTCTTTCTCATAACTTCCCATCTCACATTTCTTCCTTACATGGCCATAAGTCTGCTCAAGGTAAAAAGAGATAAACAAAGAAAAGTTAAACATCTCTTCTGGAGGACCAAAATATTTCCATTTACTCTTTTTGCTGATGATAATTCAACACTGAACATTTCAGAAGTGATAAATTTTAAATACTCACATTTTTAAGCAAACCAGGATAGTAATCTATAGGTGCATATCCAAGACCTTGAGTGAAAAGAGCAAATTCTTTATCAAATCTGAGTGCTGAAAGTATATGAGATAACAAACCCTGAAAAACATAAACAGAAAAAGTTAAGCTCTTTAAAAGTGAATACAAGTGCCTTTTATGTACAAGCCTATGATTTATTTGTAAATGAAGTGGTCTCTATGAAACAAAACAATCTGTTTGTCGAAATACCCAATTTACTTGATTCAAAGTGTAGAAGAGAAATGTTAACATTAAAGTTAATACATTAAAAAGAAGTCAATTTAAACAACCTTTAACACCAAAACAAAAATATAAAGAATAAGCAGTGCTTTACCTATATTAAGAATAAAATTTTATTGTTTTAAACTCAGTAAAATATGTTTAACAGAGATTATATGATAATTTGTTTTAAAGGTCAAATGGTTAAAGTGCCGATGTCATACAAGGTTCGAGGGTGGCGCATCTCACACACATATGTGAAACACCCAATCACCACGCTCGTGAACTAAAAAAGGATCAAGATATGAGAATTTAATATAAGATAGAGAACACATCACAAACCAGTAGAGAAAGGACAGATTATGCAATAAATGGTGCCTCAAAAGCTATTCGTACAAAAAGAAAAAAAAGATTCTCACCAGGCATTGTTTATCTAAATACAATACAGTTTAATGTAAATTAAAGAGATAAATTTAAAAATGAAATAATACACAAGAAGAAAACACGAACATTTTTCAAGTGTCTAAATGAGAAAGAACTCTGAGAACTGAACATCCTGGGAGCAAATCAGGGAAGAGGTTTGGCTGTGCTCAATAAAAATAAAACCTTGTGTTTACCAGAAAAGCAATATGATCACAAACTAGAAAGAATGTTAACAACAAATAGTACAGATTCTATGTTATCAAGTTAATGGACAAAATATATGACAAACACTAAGAGAATAACCATAAATATGAATAGATAATTCATAAGAGAAAATACAAACAACGAAGAAACACATAAATCAATGTTTGTCCTCCATAATCAAAAAGGGTAAAGTAAAACACTTATATGCCACTTTCACTTAATAAATTCAAGTTGTTACAGACGTGAATAGCTAATGCTGTATGGGGTTCTGTGAAAGAGGTACTCTGTGCGCACTCCTGGAGGCAACAGAAATAGGATCTTCCGGCTGGGCGTGGTAGCTCACACCTGTAATCCCAACACTTGGGGAGACCAAGGAGGGCAGATCACGAGCTCAGGAGCTCAAGACCAGCCTGGCCAATATGGTGAAATCCCGTCCCTACTAAAAATACAAAAAACTAGCCAGGCGTGGTGGCGTGAACCTGTAGTCCAGCTGCTTGGGAGGCTGAGGCAGAAGAATTGCTTGAACCTGGAAGGTGGAGGTTGCAGTGCACTCCAGCCTGGGTGACAGATTGAGACTCCGTCTAAAAAGAAAAAGAAAAAGAAAAAGGATCTTCCATACAGAGTGCAGTTGTGGACGGCACCAACGCGTCCATGAAGTGTGAGCAGATGTAACACAGCCTGGAACTCATCGTGAAGCTTAGACTTCCAGGTATGTGTCTGCCTAGAGGTTTGTTACCTGAACAAACACAGATTACGGACTAACAAAGGCCCTGCCTTACAGAAAGCAACTTGAAAAAAAAATGTATTAAATGTCTTCAAAATATTCAGAACCTTTGATATAGCTGGCATACATTTAAGGAAACAAATGCAAATATGATGACAGAAACTATGCTCAACGATGCAGTTGTTATTTCTCATACAGTGAAAATTGTCTAACAGCAGGGGATGATTAATTATAATATTCTTATATAGTGGCTCACCGTGAGCTATTAAAAATGTTTATAAAGGGGCCATGCATGGTGGCTCACACCTGTAATCGCAGCACTCTGGAAGACTGAGTCGGGCAGATCACTTTAGCCCAGGAGTTCAAGACCAGCCTGGACAACATAGAGAAATCCCACCTGGGACAACAGTTTTGTATTTTGTGTTGTATCCACGTTTTGTGTTTTTGTACAAAAAAAAACACAAAAAATTAGCTGGGCATGGTGGTGCACACCTGACATCCCAGCTACTCAGGAGGCTGAGGCAGGAGGATCACCTGAGCCCTGGAAATTGAGGCTGCAGTGAACCATGATCAAGCCACTGCACTCCAGCCTGGGAGCTGGAGTGAGACCTTATATCCAAGGGAAAAAAAAAAGTTTATGAATAATCTTAATAGTATTTTAAATGGTTATCTTATACTATTAAATGAAGAAAGATGTAAAATGTTTTATTGAGAATGATCTCATCAATATAAAAATAATCCACACATAGGAATGGAAAAACAATGGAAGAAAATACCACTGTCTTAGTCCGTTTGTGCTACTATAGCAAAATACCTCAGACTGGGTCATTTACAAGGAGCAGAACTTTATGTCTCAGTTCTGGGGGCTAGGAAGTCCACGACCAAGGAGCTGGCAAGTTCAGTGTTTGGTGAAGGCTTCCAAGGTGACGCTCTGTAGCTGTGCCCTCTAAAAGGGATGGGCACTATGAATGCTGTGTCTTTATATGAAAGGTACAGAGGGGCAAAAAGGGCCCAGGACACTCTCTTTCACCTCTTATAAAATCACCAATCCTATTCATGAGAGCTCTACCCTCATGACTTAATCACCTCCCAAAGCCCCTCTTAATACTACCACATTGGTGATTAAGTTTCAACACATGAATTTTGGGGGATAGATCACAGCTATCACCAAATGTCAGCAGTCTCTAGGGTGGTGTTAGAGACCCACAATAGTGCCACCCTAGAGACTGCTAACATTTATATTAACATTTTATATATATATATATATGTATTTTTCCCCCTTCTTCTTAGGTATATTTCCTAACCTTCCATAAATGTATGTACTTCTTTTAATACCAGGAAAAAAAAAAACTTTTGAAAAAGTTTTATCTGGAAATATTTGATTTTTTAAAAAGTTCCATATTGCATTTGTGATAACATATTATGAGATAAAATGAATTTGCATCTGTACATATAAATATATGTATATAACTTCATACACAAATACTTGGAGATGACAGTCTCATCTGGGGTAGAGGCTAAGGGTGCCTCAGTGATGGGCAGGCAGGCTCCACATACCCTGGACAAGCATGTGGCACACATACCAGTGACCCGCTGGGTGGTTAGCACTATCACGGTGCTCACTTCAATTTCATCATAAAGTATCTGACACATCCAAAAAGATACAAGATATTATGTCAAATTTCACAACCCTTCAAACTTAATCAGTAAAACATTAGAAATACAGAAGAAGCCTTGTGTACCCTCTGCCCTTCCCCACCATGATTCAACAGAAGTCCCTACCCCTGGGGGAAGCTCTACTCTGAATGTGAGGCATCCTTTTGCGCGGATCATTTACTTTCGCCCTGTGAGCTCAGACCCCCCTCCGTATCCTTAAAGGAGAATCCAGGCAACACTCCTAAGTCATGTAGGTGGTTACAAATAGCAACCTGCCATTTGTACATGACATCCTATCTAGTGTTTTCAAATTAGAATTGTAAGTTAACAAAGTAGCTTTAAAACATTACTACTCAGTAGAAGACATTCATGATTAGTAAAAACAACAACAAAAACTGGCAATATGTACTACATGATTTACAGAAAAATGAATCCACTGGAAAGGGGGAAAAACAGGAGCTTTACAGAGTTAGAGTGAACCCTGCCTAAAAGAGAGAGAAGGATGAGGCCTCTTGCTTACTATTGCTGTTTCCCTCTTTCAGTTCAAATCTGCCCCAAATGCAGACAGGAAACGGGAGCTGACCATAGCTCCAAATGAGTTCATCTCCATGCTGGTGGTGTTCTTTTCCAACACCAAGTGCAATCTGGGAGAGAGAGGGAGCCGCTGTGGCTCGGTAGGCAGAGTCAGGGAGCTTAGGTACAAGCCAGGGTGCCATCTGTGGACGGGCAACGGCCCTTACCACTGGGCTCCACTGAACTTTTGAAGGAAGACAGTGGGGCCTGCACAGCAAGAACACTTGGTGCTCTTAGCAAGCCAGGATGAGGCCTGAACTCCCAGTGGGGTGCAGGGCAGGCGTTCTGGGAAAAGCGAAAGCCCAGCCAGATCTGGTCGTCCATATGTCAAATCCACGTGGAGGTGTCCAAGTCAGACCCAGGCAGAGGAAGGAGGACTTGGTTTAGAAACTAGGTGGGCTCCAAGTTGGCAGCAGTCTGGGTTTCATGGAGCAGGTCAGTCTGATGCTAGGTCGGGGGAAGGGTAGTGTCAGAATAATGCAACCTACTGCTCAGAACCAGACTTTTGCATTCTATTTAACAAACACTTAAAGCACTTAACTACATACCAGGGCCTGTTCTAAACTGATTACAAATAGCAACTCATTTAATCCTCATAGCCTATGGGTAGGTACTATTACTGAATTTGGGTTAAAGAGGAAGAAATCAAGACAGTTTAAGCAGGCTGCCCAAGGCTATTTACTCTATGGCCAAACCTTATAATAAATCTCCCTGTATCCACTGTCCATGAGACACCTGGGATAGTTTTTAACAACGCAAATCTGATTGCTCTGTAAGAGACCCTTATGGCTTCCAGTTGCTCTCACCGTGAAGCCCAAACTTCTCAAAGTGAAGCAGCCTGGCTCACCAGTGCACCCCACACCCAGCACCAGACTTGACTTCTCCTTACTAGCCTGTTTGGGACCCTGGAGGGCCACAGACTTTTTGAGCCATCAGGACTTTAGTATGTCTGATCCCCTCTGCCTGGGGAGCTCTCCTATGCCCCTCACTTGTGAGAAGTCACTTCTTGAAGAGATTCTGATTATCACAACTAAAATTTACCAAGCGCTTATAATGTGTAAGGCACTACGTTCTCTAAGTATGGCATCTCACTGAAAACCCCAGGTTCAGCTTTGAATCAAATTCAATTCAGCAAAGTTTCAATTACACCACCCACAAACAGGTGGCTACTGTTACTATATATCGCAATCCAACCTTAAAAAATTAGAGTGCAAGCCCTACAGACTCAGTTGGGATGGAAAGTAATGTAGTATGCAACAGAGGAAAATCAGTTTTGAGGCAGTAATAGCTAAGGGTCAGTCAAGACTGTAGATCTTAAAACAAAACCATGCCTAGGCTTTCCCCTAACCCACAGCCTCCCAGAAGCACTCACATCCCAGGCCTGGGACCAGCTCATGGAGGGTGACTTCCCAATACTGCATAAGCTCCTCTTGACATCTGATAGATTCACAGGGTAAGATGAGAGATTGTAAATAATTCCTAAGTAATGTTTAAAATAGCCACAAATAGTTCCCTAGATACTACAGTCATGCATCACTTAACAGCTGGGATACATTCTGAGAAATGCTTTGTTGGGCAATTTCTCTCCGTCCAAACATCACAGAGTGTACTCACATGAACCCAATGTAAATTGAGTTCAGCCTGCTGCACACCTAGGCTACATGGGAGAGCCTATTGCTCCTGAGCTACAAACCTGTGCAGGATGGGACTGTACAGAG